ATCAGGTGTAAAATCCAAATCGGCAACAACAAGGTAGGAGGCAGGTAAGGGGTCAAGTCCAAACTAACAACCAACCCAGGAAGGCAGGCGCCACAGCAAACCACAGGCACCACAGCAAACAACTGTTTCCTGGAAAACAAGAGGCATACACGTGTGTGGCTATCCCACATGCACCTCTGTAGCCCTTGTTCAAGATCTTATGCATTGATAAGTGTAAACTTGGGGTGATATTTAGGGAAATGAGAGACAAGATGCAATTATAATTATGCAAATCCAGGAATGTGACAAAGAGCAATTAAACAGTTCCTGGTGGAAGCAGTCACATTAATTAGATTTGCCCATCCCCAGCTAGGTCATGCCAGACCCACCCATGGATGTATGTAGAGTGTTCCCAGAGAAAGAGAGAAGAGAGAGAGAGGTGGCATGACAAATAGAATGGTAAAAAGGGGGATCAGTCTGATTAGACAGACTGGGAAGGGAAGGATCAGGAGTGGAACAGGAGTGTCGGGTAGAAAGGTGTAACAGTACTGGGGATCTGGAAGAAGTTGGCTGGGTGGCCGAATGAGGCTGGGAGGAAAGTAAGAGCGTGGGAGAGGGCATGATGCCCAGGGACTGGTAGAGGGGAGGGGTGCGTTGCTATTGGAGAGAGAGGAAGAGAATGAGTCGGTGAGCCAGTGGTGAGAATGTGTCTTAGTTTAAAGTAATTTTAAAAGGCCACAAAGGCCTGATCCTGGGAATTCAAATCTAGGTCTCCCAAATCCTGGTCCAACACTCTATCCACCCCCCACCCCCCATGCTGGCTGTCTAGGACTGAGGAGCTCACTCAAAGCCAAAATTTATACAGTTCCAGCACTGTCTCACCCCCTGTCACATGCCCCTGTTGTCCTGGCCCCAGCAGTAGTTCCTGGTGTTGCCATTTGTAGAATGGTGCTGCAACTCACTTCTGGCCCAGACTGTTCAGCTCCCTTGTGCCACTGGTGGAGTAAGGAGTAGGAGGCTGTATGAGACTCCAGCCCACTTCACCAGATGCATGTGGTGAGTCCTTGCCAGGAAGGTACATATAAGGTTATGATGGGGGAAATGGTAAACAGGAATAGTATCAGCCAAGAAATATTTAAAACACATATGCGATGGAGAACACAGTCCTGAGATGATCTAAACAAATGAAACACAGACTGATAGAACAAAGCGCTTGAGCGTATCAAAGTATATTATAACATACAACAATATTAAAGCAGATACTAATACACAAAAGAATGGTAAATTTCAGGTGAAGGTGAACTTCTATCAAAACGCAAGTGAATCCGACGAAAACCTCCGGAATAACTCTTGGTTTTGCCTCCATCAGAAAAATTCCTACACCTATGCTTGTCTAGTTTAATTCATACCACAGTTTGACATATCATATACAAATCTTCTCCTGGTTTTTCTACCATAAATACATTCTTAAACCAAACCAGGTGTGACTTAGTTCATGACGGGAGTGTGTGGTGGTTCCCCTCCACTTGCTTTGGGGAGGGTGCTGTCAGGCACTGCAGACCTTTGTGGGGCCTCGTCTCCTGCTGGGAGTTGGCACCATCTCAGCTGGCCCACATGTTTTCTGAGACGTTGACCATCCTCCGTGGACACCTCGTACGAGACTGGACCCGTCAGCCAGATGACCCACCCCACTAGCCACGGGGGTCCCTTCCCGAAGTTCTTGATGAAGACAGGGTCTTCCGGGAAAAATCCTTGTGTTGGGTCAGTCACCGCGACTCTGGCACCCTGTCTGGATGCAGCCAATCCACTAGGATTGTGGGTTGCCGACCCATCAGGAGCTTGGCGGGACAGCGGCCACTGACAGGGTTCAGCGTGGTTCTCTGGGTTAAGAGGAAACGTGCAAGGCAGAACTCCCAGTCTCCACCCGTGATCCGGCTGAGGGCTTCCTTCGCTGTTCTCATCATCCGCTCCTCCTGTCCATTGGTGGCAGGGCAGAATGGTGCAGACCTCACTTGCCGGATCAAGTTCCTCTGGAAGAAGTCTTGGAACTCTTCCAAAGAGAACGCCGTTCCGTTGTCGGAGACTATTGTGTCTGGCAGCCCATGTATCATGAATATCTGGCTCAGCGTGCGGATGATGGCCTTGGAGGATGTCGTGGTGACAGGGCTAATCTCTAACCACTTGGAGTACGAGTCCACAGTGACTAGAAAGAGCAGTCTTTGGAAGGAGCCAGCAAAGTCTATGTGGAGTCGGGACCATGGCTTGTGGGTGGACTCCCAGGCCTGGGTGGGCGCGCTTGGTGGGTTCGGCCAGACCTCCTGGCAAGCTTGGCATCTCTGCACCCAATCTTGGATCTCCGCATCGATCCTGGGCCATCATACATAACTCCAGGCCAGGGCCTTCATCTGGACTATTCCCGGGTGAGCTTCATGTAGCATGGTAAGGACGCGGTGTCACAGGCCATTGGGAATGACAACCCTATCACCCCACAGTAGGCACCCTTTGTATGCTGAAAGTTTGTCCCTCTGAGTGGTGAGTGCTGTGGATTCTGGGCCTGCAGAGGCTGCGGGCTACCCCCTGACCACCCAGCCCAAGACCCAAGAGATGACAAGGTCGCGGGCTGAGCGGCCAGCGATATCGGCAGCTTGCAGGGGCGGCTTGGGAAGA